GATAATTTCCGGACCGACCCAGGACAAATTAAGTATCTCTGTGAGCGACTAACGAGAAGATAATTATTCCTTAAACAATTTTACCGTAGCCGAACGCATCCTATGCTGACCCCAGCTTCCTACTAAATGTTCACCAAACAAGATTTAAACGCTACCAAAATGGACACCTCTAAACTGCATGAATCAAAACCAATATGAGCATTTTACGAAGTCGTTGACTGAAATGCCTGCATAAGTCAACAAATACACGGAGGGAACGTCCAAAAATAATATAACCAGACTGAATATCTATAGATTGGCTGAGGTTCCAACAAACCTGTGAAACAACTTGCCGAAATATGGTTGATGATCAATTATATGTACCAGAATCCAGGATAATCAGCATACCTGCAAAAACGACCACATTTTAAGCCAAACTGACACCTGGCTTGCGAATGTTTTGGGGCACAGTTGCCATTATTCACACTGAAGTTGCGTTCTGAGAAGAGTTGCTGACTAACATTGAGTTCAACTAGCGTTATACTCACCTAAACATCCCGGGGCGCAGCCAGGTGGTGGGGAGGGGGGGAGAGAGGGGGCACAAAGAACATAACTCTTCCTCTAGGCCCTGAGGGCCTTCGGAACTCTCGGTACAGACTATCGAGGGCCCTATTGGAGCGCCCGAAGGGCTGGCTGGGGGATGATCCCGGGGTGAAGGCCTAGCCCTCAAAGGGCAGCCAGTAGGACTTGTTGCGCTTGCGGGGCCCCCGGGACGACGAAGGCGTCAATGTAGGTCCGAGGCCACCAATGCTGTGCGGTTAGCTCTGAGTCGACTTGGACCCTGGAAGCCCTTTTACAAAGCAGGGACATGGCCGATGTCTGCGATTGATACTGAAGGCCTCGTGCGTCGGCCGGGCTCCTGAAGCAAGGTGGTTCCCCATATCAACGCGCAGAGTGCTTAAAAGGGGCCCTGAGTTGGTGAGGGTCTCCTAGTCGATCAGAGGCACATTTTGGTGAAGAGAAGTAGGGCGAGACGCTGAGAATTAGAGAGCCACTTGCGCTGGGCGAGGTCTTCTTGCCAGACATGGGATGGACACGCGAGAAATGGCAGTGGAATGGTACACAATGAGACAAAAGACAGGCCTAGGCAGTCACGGGCTCCGGTACCAAACAGGGGCCTTCAGAGTCCCTAGCCCGGGCTCTGTTTGGTTCGAGGCCCCCGTTTGAGCTGAGGGTCAGGTAACCTTAACTACTGTCCATTTCTATGTCCGGTTGGCTTGTTTTATTGTTGTCAGATTTGTCTTTAAAACCTTCCTGATTCGATGACTTTGAGATCAGAACTCACACAAAGCAGAATTGTCGTGTGTTCTGGGATTTCATCTTTCTATTGAAAAATTTCAATTATACTGCGGAACTTTATGGAAAAAGCGGTTTGTACGTAACGTTTGGCACGGTTCCCTTGCCCTTTGACACTCAGACATTGAACAGCCGCTGCCACCGACTGCAGGTCATCCAAGTCAGAAGTCCAATAGCGAGCGTACAAAGACGAAGCCAGGATTGAGAATCCAGAGGTCCAATCTCACCCTACCGCCATCTTCACGTGATGAGTTCTCACTGAGACGCCCCTTTCCGTGTTTGATTATCCTGGATGATGATGATGATGATTTGGAGTTTTAGGGCGCATCGACTGCTAGAGGTCATGCAGCGCCCATAACTATCGATTCATGCAGAGCCGTCAATCAGAGAAGTGCATCAATCAGGTCACCCTATAGAGCCATGATGATCGGCCCTAGCATCATGATGAGAAGATTACAGGAAAATCTATAGCGCGAAGGAACTGGAGCACTTTACCAAACCCGACGATGTTCGAAGAATCCCCTAAAAAGTCGCGTAGCGTGCGACTCTGGACGTGGCGTCCGAAAAACTGCGCTCTCGTTGCAGTAAGGTGGCGGCAAGCGACCAGTACGTGATGCACGGTCAGTGGATCAGAGCATCGACCGCAGCATGGTCTGTCGCCAGCCAATAGCAGGTGACGGTGCGTAGCATATGTGTGACCTATGCGTAACCGGCAAAGGGCAACTTCTTCCACCCTATTGTCCCGAAAGCACGACTGCCATAATCCAATGCGGGGTTTCACCGACTGCAGCTTGTTGGCGCTCAGTGAGTTCCAGTACAACTACCATCGCTTCTGCATAAACAGCGACACTGCGGGGTACATGTCTTGAGCAGGTAGTGGTGTTATAGGAATTCTAGTCCCTGTCGTAGCGCGCTTTGCTGCCGCGTCAGCAAGATCATTTCCGCATATCCCCACGTGACTTGGGATCCAGCATAGAACGACCGTTTTTCCTGCTCGATCCAGTGAGCTAAGACGAGATTGAATGTCCTGAACCAGTGGAATCGACGGGGAGAAGCCGCTAACAGCCAGCAGGCTGCTCAAGGAGTCGGAAAGAATTAAATGCATATTGCTATCGTCCACTTCAATAAAACAGAGAGCTTTGCTAATGGCTGTAAGCTCGGAAGTGTAGACCGACGCGTGTGAAGGCAGTGTGAATGACCGTATGGTGGATCCGCACACAAAAGCGCACCCTACACCTGCATCCGTCTTCGAACCATCTGTATAAGTCATCTTGTACCCGTCAAAGGAGGCCATGTGCTCTAAGGCTGCGCCTTTGAGTTCCGTCATGAGGACACGTTGCTTTTGCATATTTGATAGAGAGACATCCATTCTTGGCCATGCTAGCTCCCAAGGAGCAGTCT